CTAAAACAAATAAAACTCAGATCTAAAAAAAAGAAGAAGAAGCTAGATCTGAACCTCTCAGTCATCGGAGAGCCCTTAATCGATGGAGAAGATGATCTTCAGTCGCCGAAGAAAACGCTGGCATGGCTCTGTGTGTGTCTATGATCATTCCGTTTGAGAGGCAAAGTGAAGAGAGAGAGTCAAAGAGAGAGGAAGGACCAAAAAAAAACCTTTTTTACTTTGACTAATTTTGCTGCTAAGAGGATTCGAAGGGGATATCTCATTAAAGAGTTGAGTTGTTTCCCTNATACTTTGACTAATTTTGCTACTAAGAGGATTCGAAGGGGATATCTCATTAAAGAGTTGAGTTGTTTCCCTTATTTTCTATTCTTAAAAACTCAAAAAACATAATTTAGATGTTCTAGCTTTTGTTCTCAATTCCCACTTTTTTTGAAAAATTATTTTTGAAAATTACTATCCAAACATCATCTCAAGAGTTTTTTGTGTTTTGAGAACAAAGAACTGTTTTCGAAACACAAACCAAACACTACCTAAATTTGACTTAGCAAATACACCTTACTGTTGTTGCTGAAACATAGGAAAAGGAACTGAGGTGACTGTGTATGTAGGCCTGACAATCGTGTCGAGTGGAACGGGTTTGTGCCAAAAAACCCTCCATCCATATCTCATTCGTTTATATAAACGAGTCCAACTATCACACTCATATATAAATTGTTTATTAGACAAGTTATTCAATACAACCCGTATGTCACCCGTTGAATAAGAGAATATGTTAGAGTATTTTGAGTCCACACGAAAAATCATCAACTCGTCACACATTATACATGTTTGACCTGTTTACTATAATAATAAATCATGGCTGAATAAAAAAATAAAGATAAAAAATAAACATTAAATGACTACTAAATTTGAATAAGTTTGAGAGATGTGAGGTGTAAGATGAGGCAGAGACTGAGAGACCTAATCTTTTTTTTTTAAAAATTTATAATACCACTATTAACAGGCTAAAACAAGTTTATGGGTTAAATACGAAATCAGTTAATTTATTTTACAGGTCTGTTCAATTAACTCGTTAACCACCCACACTGTTAAGAGTAGACTCAAACTCACTAAATCTGTGTCGAATTTGTGTCGATTTTACGGAGTTTAGAATTGTCAAGCCTAAGTACACGAACTCTTCAAGACATGCATGCGTCCACGTGTAACAATATCATGCCAAGATGAGTAAAACCAGCTCAAGTATATTTCATCAAATACCTGATTCGTTAGTCTCTTATGTCCCTATGATAAAAATATGAGGATCAAACTATTTCTTGACCTGTATAATTAATACCCATTCACAAGCCAAGTCTTGAATGCACTTTGGTGTACTGGGTGTTTCAATAAGCCAAGTCTTGAACGCACTTTTGTGTACTGGGTGTTTCAATAAGCCATGTGACCATGTCTTGCATGCAGTGTGGTGTACTGGGTATTTCATTGAAGTTCAAATCTCATTCTCAAACCACAACTTCCTATCACCCCCCCCCCCTTCCCTCTTAAATTCTAGTATAGTTTAGTTTTCCTATTATTCCAGGAATAAGGATGATATGTAATGCCAATTTGATAAAGATGGAGCTATAATTTCAATTGACAAAGGCATGACAATTGAACAAGAAAGCGAATACTAAAGATTGTGATTGAAGAATCAAAAAACAGTTTTAACAAAGAAATCCCCAGAGGGATAGAGAACATGAAAGATTACATGTGCACAAGTTCATATGGTACGACTCCAAAAACTATTTGTGCTATCCTGCACTCACTATCAATTACATTCTTTATAGAAATCACTGTAACTTCGCTAGATCTCACAGAGCATGTTGATCTTCAATCTCCATTGTCGATTCTTCAATGTTCGGCGGTGGGGCCACAATTTCACACACCCGTTCCCCAGCGTCCGATTCAGTCTTTTCGGTCTGCCCAAAACCATCGTCAGACGACGAATGGTGGAGATGAGGGAACGGAGTCGATAGTCCATGAACCACAATCCGGTTGTTATACAACAAATCAAGAATCTGGATCTTGACGTAGTTGATCCTCATGGGAGCCAATGGATCTCCACTGCCATCGGTGGTAACCACCAAGTTCTCGCTACTTTCCACCGTCGGCAAAATCGTCTCCGCCGGCAAACTCACCAAATCAGCAGCCCTCAACAATCTGTTCGGTACAATGTGGAACCGGAAATTAGGTAGGTACGAGTGTCCTCCGGCGAACATCGCCGTGTCGTCGAGAGCGAAAACAGTCATGGACCGAAGTTTCACCAGTTCTTGATACTTGGCTCTCAGAGCAAGAGAGACGACGCTATACCCACTGATGCGCAGTCTCACAATGGCGTCTTTTAGCATGGAGGGCATGATGGAGAAGTCTGGAGTGATGGATTGTTGAGGGAATGAGAGAGACGTCATTTGTTCGACATTGCAAGAAAGTGGAGAGAGGTGAGAGATAAAGCCTTCGATGCCGTGGATAATAATGTGGCCATTGTTGAAGAGGTCTGGATGAGAGATTTCAGCCCCGTTGATGAAGGCTTTCTTGGTGGCGTATGATGTGGTGGAGGTGGAGGTGACTGTGAGGCAGCGATTGGGGGCTAGGGTTTCGATTTTGGTGCCAAAAGCTAAGGAGAGTATGGCGTGGAGTGGGTAGAGTCCGGGGACAGAGTGTTCTTGGAGGAGAAGTGGGAGGGAGCAAGAAAGGCAGGTGAAGAGGGCGGCGTCGGTGGGAGCGAAGATGGTGGTGGGGGTGGCGGTGATGATGAGAGAAAGGTTTGCGGCGGTGGACAGTTCTTGGAACCCAAGAGAAGAAAAGACGGAGGGGAGGAAAGAAGGTGGGTAAAAGAGGTCTTGAGATGGCGTTGGGGCGGTGGTTGTGGTGGCGGTCGTGGTGATGGTGGTAGAGATGAAGATGAAGGCGAGAACGATGAGTAGTTGCAGAGAGGTATCCATGGATTATTAGTTTGTTTGCTGTAGAGAAAGAAAGGTTTCAGAGATTGAGAGAGAAGAGTGGTTTTAGATTGAGGGAGATGATGGGAGTTGAGGACTGCAGTGTGCGTTTATATAACTGAACCGAATCGCCCGAGAGAGTTCGTTCGTTAAGGGTGTCTGTTATTCTGTTAGAGGTTATTATGTTTATTGACAAAAAACTCCCTGATACTGTATAGGGAAAAATACATCAAATCATTTCACATTTTCATCAATAATTAAACTGTTTTTGCACATGTGTGATAGTAAAATAGTAAAAATTTATGGACCTTATAGTGGGATAATTGAAACATTTTATTATGATTTAGATACAAGTGAGTAATTAAAATTGATGATACTCAGAATAATTTTCAAGTGTGAGTTCAGGCGCAAAGGTCAGACAAATAGATCAGATCAAAAGGTCAGAGAAGACACGCAGACCTCAGAGGTCCAGAGCTAGAGTTCCCCCAGACGTGACAACAGAAGAAATGATAAAAGAATAGCTGGATAACAATAGAAAACTTACAGGTGGCAAAGAGTCATATTCAAGGCACAAAATCCTTAACCAGTCAAGACTTTTTCCTAAGATCAAGAAGAGTTCCTTAGATAAATGACAAAGATCTCGGTGCAGATCCCGCAAAATTAGGAACAACCCTTTAAATACGGCGTAACGCCCCCCAAGAGGGAGGGAGGCCCCCAGTAACATAGAATCGATCTCGTAAACTTTTAGGATGATCAATAAAGAAAAAAGGAACAAGAGCCTCCATTAAAAAATAGATTAGTCAAGCTCCCGAACTGACAAACCACTATATTTTCATTGTGTCAATCCCCAATTTCCCCTCAATACCAATCCTTGTACATTTGAGCCTTGTAGCTCAGATCCTAATAAGTCACATACTGTTCATCTCATCTGCTTAAAATCACAAAATTGAACCACATTGATTTACACCATCAAAAATATTTTATTGTAAATAAAATAAAATTGGATGGTAGAATATTTAGTGTATAATATATAATCTGATAAAAATAAAAATTGTTAGATTAGGCAAGTGACTGATATTCACTTTTGATTTTTTTAATCCAATGCTAAATATACAAATACTATAAATGTGGGTTCAAATTAATTTTTTTCAACAATGTTACGATGGTGAAGATTTCTTACCAAGTTTTCTATTTCAAGTTATTATGTATAGTTTTCACTATTAAATAAATATGTCTCATTAATATTCTGTGATAGAGATTTTTTTTTTTTTTTGCTTATGAAAAAAAGGAGTGGGGCAAGGAAGAGTGATCACCCCGATAGGTCTTCACCGGTGGGATCATAAGGCTCTTGACCGCACTTGGAATACCTTTTCAAACCAGACCTAACTAGGTTGGCATAGCGGCCAACCACCAAACCTCAATGGGGACTCCAATACTCGAACTCCCAACCTCAAGGTGAGGAGTAAGGCTGGTACCCTACTAGACCACCCTACTTAGTGATAATTCTATGATAGAGATTATTTACATTACTTTAAATAAAAAACTTGGTAAAAATTTTATAAGGATAGTAATACTAAATTTTTTTTATCCCAATCGCCTTTACCTGAGTACCAAACGCCTGGATTGTGATCTAATGGACAGTAATTAGTATGGCATAAAACAGAAATAGTAATATCATTGAAATTTAATTTATTAATTGAATTTATTATAATTATTAAATTGGTTACAGATCTTAATAAATAATTAGAGTCAATAGTCAATTTAATGAATATGAATAAATAGTTGAATAAACTAAATTAATAAATTAAATATAAATAATGTTGTTGAAATAGGTTGACGTGGCAGTACACGAACATGCATGCGTCCACGTGTAATACTATCATGCGAAGACGTGTAAAACCAGCTCAACTATATTTCGTGGTGGTAGCTAGAGCTAGTTTAAAGCGTCTTCCCTAACTACCGTTTCGTCTGTGATCTTGAAACAAACACCACTGATCTAGAATTTCTTGAAAAGCAACAGAAGAAAAAATGGCTTCTCTCTCTCCCCTCAACCCAGCATTCGCCTACACGGTGGTCTACGTGAAAGACGTAGCCAAGTCCGTGGCTTTCTACGCCAAGGCCTTTGGGTATACTGTTCGTCGCCTTGATGAGTCGCACAGGTGCGCGTGTGCGTGTGTGTGTCTGTTAGCTTTATATATATAAGAACAGTGGTTGAATATGTACTGTTTGTTGATGGGTACTGGTAGATGGGGAGAGCTGGAAAGCGGGCAGACGACGATAGCAATTACACCGGCACAACAACATGAGACAGACGACATAACTGGTGCGGTGAAGACACCACAGTCCGGGAGTGAGAGGGCACCGGTTGAGATTTGTTTTGCATATGAAGACGTTGATGCAGCGTACAAGGTGTGTGTCTAACTGACTATTATATTTGTGTTTCTTCATATTGAATTGAATGTGGTATTGTATATATGATTTAAAATGGTAGGTGGTGGTGGGTGGATCATCTGACTATGTTTTGTGGTGATTGTGTGCATGGTTGGATCAGAGGGCAGTGGAGAATGGTGCGGTACCAGTGAGTGAACCTGAGGAGAGAAAATGGGGACAGAAGGTTGGGTATGTGCGTGATATTGATGGCATGGTGGTGAGAATGGGAAGCCATGTAAAGCCCTCCAAACAAAATCAGTAAGGCTACACTACAGTACATTCCACATGGAATGGAATTCCACATCAAAGAAGTTTATATTTTGCTTGCCCGACTGACTTTTATTTCAATAATACTAATTTGAGGACCACTTACTGTAAGGACTTAATTAATTGTGGGTCTTAGTATTAACTGAATTCATGGGTGATCATTCATGAAGTCTCCGAATTAGGTCCTTAACGTAGAATATCCCATGTTTATATTCGCGAGGTCTCTCCGAATTAGACCCTTAAAGTAGAATAGGTACGTATGTTTTAAGGAAAAGGATGGATGGAATTAGGGGTTTATTTCTAATTCTCATTAATTTCATGGGTATGAAAGACATAATTTAATGTCTTTTTTAATCCTATATCAAGTTTGGCTTGTGACTTTTGTAATGTATGTGGGTCTTACATAAAAGTAATGATTTCATTTGATAATTGATTTAAATAACCTCCGTTGATTTTATATTATTAGACATTTAAAAGACCAATATTGTAATTTAATTTTCTTATGGTCGTCACAACAAAAGTAAAGATTTTATTTTATATAAACTGACTTTAATTCTCTTATTTTGAATTTGAACATTACGCATTAGTGAAAGGAATCATGTAAAGAACACAGCGAAATTTAAAAAATTGATTTTCCATTTCAAAATCTATTCATACTTAATACAAACTGAGAAATCTTAGATTTATAGTAAAGATTAAATGTGATCTCTTGAAGCGTGCTTTGAATGATCTTCAAGCTTTCTCAAACAACTTTAAACCTTCAAATTTGAATTTGATCTTTATCCAAAGCCTTGCAATTGTTTTGCTTCTATTAGTACCCACACGAATTGATAAACTAGAAGGATCTACCTCAACCTTTGATAAATTAGTAGAGAGAGACAATGAGGGGTGTTTTTTTTTGTGCTAGCAAAATATTTGTTATATCTTACATTCACCTCCTACATAAAGGTATTTATAGAGTTTTAAAGACTTTAATCCTAGTTTGGGTCAAGTTGCAATTATCTCATAATTACATAACCCATTTACTAACCATTAATTGTAATAAAATTCTTAATTAACTCTTAATTATGTTTTCACCCCAATTAACTCTTAATTGATTTTCTCTCCTTTATCTTTTAGTTTTCAATCAATTCTATTGTGTGTGATCCTATAGGTTCAAGCATATCCTCCCCTCCCCCTCGCCCCCCTTCCCAAAAAAAACAAAAAAACATATCCGGTTGTAGGCATTCAATACTAACTACAAATAGTATCTTAAATTAGAACTCTTTCTAATTTTGTTTGAATCAGAACTCTTATAATTTTCCCTTTATGAAGAACAATTAATATATTTATATTAATTTCATTCTTCGAGCTTCTAATAATCACGAATGACACCTAGTAGCATATCATGATCAACCTCTGGATAATATGAAATAGGTAAAAAACACATTCAATTTATAGTTGTCATGTAATTCAATTCTTCTATTACACAATGTCTTAATTGAATTATTAGGGTATGAAATTACTGTCAAACCCCTAATTTAATTTTAGGTGTTTGATCTTAGAATTATGACTCTTAATGATCAATTAGAAATTTTTTTTCTAATTGTCGTTCTGCCTTGGCCAAGGCCTTGGCCAAGGACTCCTTGAGTCATATCCTAGAAGATCACATAGGACATTCTCCTTTTATTTACTAAGGGTGATAGATTCTATGTTGTGCAGTCATAAATCTCTATGCATGTCTAACTATGTCCAACAATACATATCCAATTTACATGATTAGTATATGAATATGTTGTATAATTCATGCACAAGACAACAATGGTGTCTCAAGTCTAAGGATCAGTTGCATAACTATGACTTTAAGATTTAATATTGACAGGTATGTAAAATTCTATATGAAAAATCTTATGTTAGTCAATGACCACGTTTAGTGTACTTGTTCTCTAACAAGAATCCATACACTTGCTTCAATGTCCCTACACTAGTGACTTGGACGAGTTATCTCATATCAAATATGAGTAAACATAGTATATGTTAATCTATCCGGATTACATAGTATCCACATAGTAATCCTATGACTAGGAACATTAAAGAGTTAAGTATTAAAAAGTATATGTCTCATCTTCTTAATTTCTTGAGAAACTATCTTCTTAACTTATATTCTATAGACTACTATATCATATACTTTAAAATGAAATAAAACAAAAACATGATAAATAAACTTGTCATTTTATTTAATTAAGTAATGAATTTTACTAGTACAACCCTAAAACATCATCTATATGATTGGTCTTAGAAAGGTCAATACTATAATTTATTAATCTAAGTACTATTGTTAGTTTTCTACTTCATTTTAATACCATCTCTCACATGGTATTAAATATACTTATGTAGATGAGTTTAGCGTCATTGTTCATACTGAGTCAATATTAGGATCCCAAAAATAGGACTCTGTTATTTGACAAACAAAGTATATGTGAGAATCATGTACTAATAAACACTATTTCATTTACTTATACCCCACTTATCTCCCTAATAAAGACATTCGTAGTGTTATTGTATTGTCGCTACGGCAAAAAAATTCATTTACACAATGTTATTTGGATTGAACTGAATTTCACTCGAAATCCAATAATTAGAGTAATAGTGGGTGGGTCTCAGTATTCAATAAAGCCCAGTATAGTTATGTAGATGTTGATAGCTGGGATAGTTATGTAGATGTTGATTTGAAGTAATTAAAATAAATTAAATCTATTTAGACCTTGATTTTTTTACCACTTTATACAACCCAGAGAATAGTGAAATTTCTGAATTATCTACATGTCTATTGATTAAAGACTAGTGTGAGGAAATCCTGTAAGCAACAGCTAAACCGAATCAAACCAAACCAAATAATTCACAACTTACAACACTACATTGACCCAAAAATAGAAAACCACAACCCTATTATAAGAGCATATGGCCATAAAACCGTAGATAATTAGAGCATTGATATGTAAAGCTTCAGTGTACAAAATAAAAAACTTGAAATCTTTAAAAGCATAAAGCGAAATTCGCCCAAAAGTAAATCGTTTGGATAAAAATTGAAAATTTTAAAATATTTTGAAGTACTAAGTGTGATTCAACTTTTCTTACCCCCATATAAAATTGGGTGGGACTCCCAACCTCACAAATCTCCTTTCCCGCCGCATTTGATAACAATTCATCCCTTTTATACCTATCACATTAGTAACTAAGTTCACCCTATATTACATACACTTTTTTTTAATAAATAAACACACTTTATATTTTGTCATAATTAGAGCTTTATTCTCTATCTCATCTCATACACTCACAAAAATATTTTTTCAATATAAATTTTTTCAGTGAGATACATATTAGTATTATTTTTTAATTTAATTTAATTTTCTATTTCATGTTTTTTATATGAGTTTTCATTACTGTCGGTTTGTTTTGATATGTCTGTCAAGTTTAGGGGTATTCATGGGCCGGATTACCCATGGGTCCTATTACCTGGCCCGAAAAAATAGACTCAATAGTTGGTCTGCCCGAGTGCAATATCCTTGAAAAGAGGGTTTGACTTTGCCCCAAACTCATTATCCGACCTAATAACCCGCCCAAAAAAACCATTTAAAACCCGGTCCAAGAGCCCGCTCATCCTTTCTTTGAAAAAAAATTTTATTTTAGACCATTAAATTTAGAATTTTGAAATAAGTCTTCCAATATCAAAATTTGAAATTTTAAAAATTTAAATACTATAAATAATGTATTATTTTTTTTTTCCATATATTAAACATATAAGTTTTAAATGGTAGAATAATGTAAATGATAGATACATGAGTATGGGTCAACCTATAGTTGGGATCCATTCAATCTATTAGATGTATTTCATCCCCTAATTAAAAGTAAAATTATTTATTATTTTATTTTTATCTATTTTGACTCTACTTTTAATTTTAAAAAATAATTTATACAAATGTTAATTTACAAAAATATTAATTATTTTTAAATGAAGTTGTATATAAAAAAGTTTGCGAGTAGGCTTGCCCATAGATCCACCCAATAGGCTCGTGAGTAGCCTATCCTTACCTGAAGCCCGCCCTGATAACTCATTTGAGTAAGAATTTGGGTTTGCATTATTTAAGCTCGACTCGAAAAAAAAATTCATGGGGCTAACCCAACCAAAAAAAAAATTCACAGGTCTAACTCGGCCTCGCCCATAAACACCCCCTAATCAAGTTTAATAATTTTTTATTTAGAATTTATATGCGTGTATATATATGCATATTTTCAAATTATTTTTTTTATCTTATTAAGATTTTGCATCTATACTTGTTATTTTTTTTCTTTTATTCGATTTTGTGTATGTGCTTGATGTTTATTTTTTTTTTCATATTCGATTTTGCGTCATGTAGTTTTGTTTGTTTATTTATTCTTTATTTGATTTTCTTTTCCTTCTTATTTTCTTTCTATTTTTCCTTATTTCGTTTTTGTCTTTTTTGTTTTGGTCTATTTCTTTCTTTTGTTTTTTTTTTGTTTCGATCTTTTCTTTTTTCTTGTTTTAGTATGCTTTTTTTTTTAATTGGTTCAATTTTGCTTGGTTTTTTTCTTATTTCGTATATATATTTATGTATTCAAACTAATTATTTTTTTTATGACTTTTTTCATTATAAAAGTGTACATAAAATGAGTGAGTTTAAATATTAATGGGATATATATAGAATAACATAAATTTAGTTATTAATGGTGAATATAAATCAAGTGAATTGAATAATTTGATAATAAAAATTTACATGGGGTGGATGGGAATAGCCCCACTCTATAAAAATTGCAAGAGCCCTCTTTGCGAAATTCCAAACGTGAAACTGCACTTTAACGCTCGGGTTGTGGAGCAATCGATTGAGTACAAAACTAGGGTTCCAAAATTCGCACAAATCAAACTTCTGAGCTCCTAAATTGTTGACGAAATCGCGTTTCATCATGGAGAGTGCGCTCGCGAGCGCCTCTGCGATTAGTGACCAGAGGCAGAAGATCGAACAGTACAAAAACATCCTCTCCTACGTCATCGCATCAAATGACATTGCGCAGGCGAAAAAGTTCATTGATCACAGTTACGATCTTAAAATTTAGGTTTTCTTATGATGATTTGTTTCAATTCATTGAACTGCTTATTTAGAGTTAACACGTTTGATACTTCTCTTGAATGTCAGTTTTATCGGTCATGTGCCGTTGGTGGTCTCGCGGCAGCTTTTACGGACGTTGGCGCAGGAGTTGGGGAGGTTGCCCATTATATACTCAATCAGATTGAGCTTCGAGTTGTATCATTCGAAGAACAGGTTCGTTTCTAGCATTCCTCTTACCAGCTATATGTATTGATAGTTCACATTGTGTGTGTGTGGAATGGTTCAAGGAAAATGCTACACAATTCAAATGAAATTCAAAAATTACAGTTAAATGCATATTATTCATTAACATGCATTTAATAAGTCTCACTGAAAAAAAAAAAAAATGATAGGATCCATTTAGCAAAGGATGATATGCATTTGTGTTATAATTTTTTGGATTTTGGGTTTCATTGGGGTTGTGTGGTTTACTGATTCTGTGGGATTAGAATGGATGGATTCATACACGGTGCTTTGACAATCGTAGTGTTTAAGGTAAGTGTTATGCTCCCGTACTTCCAATGTGTAATGCCAAAGTCATTCAGATGATCGTAGTTTTCTCAGTTCTTATTGATGGTAATAAATCGTAGAACATATAAATTATGAAATACAAACTAATAAATGAAAAGATCAGCATAATAGCCCAATCATTTTTCACAATCCACATGATAACTAACACTAAAAAAAGATAGTACTGAGAATTAGCTCACAAGAATCAAAATTTAGCATTAAAAAATGATAAATGAAATCCCAAGTTTATCATCAAAATTAAGGAAGTCTGTATAAAGTAGTTAACATTTTTCAAATACAGAATTCTAAGCAAATCTCCATGAGATTGTTTTGAAGTAGCTATGAAACACGATTTTTAGAAGTTAATACAACTTGTTTACTTTATGATTTTAAGCATATTCTCAACAACAAATGACATAACATGAAAAGTAGTTTTGCTTTGACAACTAATTTTTGTTAGCCCAAAATGTAAAATGATTACTTACTATCGAGGGGTGGTTCGTTTACATTCTAGACATGTTCAATTTGATTGTTTGAGCGTGTATTAGTGCATAAGACATTGAACTACTTTGAATCAAACATACAATCCATAGTTTACTCAAACAAAGATAATTGCAATATCAACTTAAAAAACTACCGCTAGATCAAAAACCAAATTCAACATATGCCCAAAACTCCCACAATATCCAACTTATTTTTATCAATCAATTGACATTAACCCTTTCATGGATCGAGATATTTCAATACGGTATAAGAGTCAAATTTTATTCAAACACTATCAAAATCATAAACTTAGTTCATTACTACACCCAAATCATCAAATTCAAATGAATTCTTCGCTGTTAATGATATCTCAACTAAAACCAACCCCAAGAAATCAGAATTTGAAATATTTCTATTACACAATTAGTGTTCGATTTTGTGTTGCACAGTCCCTTCAGGCGAATTTAAAGAAAACATGGTCCAAACTTTTTATCGGACTCACCATCATGCCCCAATTTTACCTTACCAAAATTATTTATCAGCTATCACAATAACATACTAATATCAACAATACAATAAAATTTAATTCTATCTATATAAATCTACATATATCAAAATTTTTGAAGGGTGAATGTCTATCTTTTGATCAAGTCGTAATTAATTTGGATCATTCATGATTGGACAAGAATGGTATATTTTAACTTGTTAGCTTCCTTACTTTATAAATATTATATTAAGACCATAAGGAATTCAAACTTTTACACCCTATGGAATTTGAACCTCCGCGCGCAGTGCACACACCGAAAAATGAAAAACAAAAAATAAACATCAACAACTGGTAGGGACATGTCTGGTAAATAGTAAACGGCGGGTGGTAGCTCTGAGCCAACAGGACTTCGAGAGACATCGACATGGACAACCCAATCTCTCTCTCAAGTGTGCATACATAGACCCAGAGAAACCCTAGTAATCCTTTGGCCGAGGATTCCAAACTCAAGCAAATCACAAGGATTTGACGAAGCCACCGGATTAAGGAGAACCCATATATCGCTATGTTTGATATGTGGTATTAGACCTTAGGAATCAAATGATCATTCCTGAGTAATCCCTATTCTTTTATTGGATTTGTGGGAATAAAATTTCATTCCCATTTCTAAGAAATAACTAATCCCAAAAATCATGGGATTACCCATTCCCAAATAAACAATGATATTATCCATTCCTTACCCGTCAGTAATCAGCCTAAATTCAAGTCGATGAAAAACCCGATCATTCCTATTCTTCTCTCTCTCATTACTACTCATCGTTCTTCAGTCCCAATCCTTCTCTCCTCTCATCTTTTCTCTTCTCCTCCTTTCTCCTCACCTCACCTCACCTCTGTGACTTTTCCTTCATCAGCGGGAAGGATGGCAGTCCATCTCTCCACAACCATTGTCTGCATCTTNCTCTCCTCACCTCACCTCACCTCACCTCTGTGACTTTTCCTTCATCAGCGGGAAGGATGGCAGTCCATCTCTCCACAACCATTGTCTGCATCTTTCTCATCTCTTTGTGATACAAGGGGCAAGATTGATACCAGACGAGATTTGACATTGCCACTAATATCAGGTAAGTCTTCACTTAATTTAGTCAACAATCTCAATCCAATTTTAGAATTTTGTTTCTCTATTTACTATTTAGGTTAACTTGCATGTCAACTATATGATAAAAGTGCCCTTATAAATGAGATCAAAGAAAAATAGGATTGAATACATGATATTTTGAATAATACCTGTAGAATTCAAATTAGTGGGTGACTTGAGTTTTAATTGTTTGTCGAATCCCTCTTTTGCTATCACAAAATTTTCTATTTTCACTTTGAAGTGGAATCCTTGTAAGTGGGATATATAGTTATGTAGCTACTGTGCTTTTTCCTTGGGCGCCTATCTTTGGCAAGTGCATGTATATAGACTAATAATCCCATATTAGGAATATTGGGACTCTAGCTAATGTCCTAACTAGAAAGCTTTTCTAATGACTTGAATACCACCATGCAAAAGAATGGAAGTTTATTTGAATTAATCGAAAGTAGCAATAACACGCAACAACATTGAACTATGTGGTCATTCTGTCCATGAAATATGATTGATGACATCATAATCAACAATGAAATTAATGGCCTATGTTAGCATTGCAAACATGACAGGAACACTCTTAAAACAAGCAACAACAATTACTAAGAATCCTCCTAGCATACCCAAATTAAAATGTCATATATTTTTTAAGTTCATATGCTATGGGGTCATTCTTATGCAATCATGGCCACAAAATTAAGTAGGGTCGCCCACCCTTAAATTAGAGTTACTGTGAGTCCAAGCAAGACTGCAAGCTTGGTTGTCAATTGAGTAACTGCCTCACTGTGGTGAAGAGGTAAGGGAAATAGTCTCTTGTTGCAAACACAAGTACCATGCAAACCACTCCTATGGATATGGAAGTGATGGGAACAACTATTATTGAGAATGTTGTTGCTTGTGCATTACTAGCTCCCTATTGCAATCATGGCCACCCACCCTTAAAATATAGTTACTTATTTTCTAGCTTCTCAATACTTTCTATGACCAAGAATTGATATTAAAAGAGCCTAAACCATTAGCACCTACTTGCAGCCTGGAAATTTTTTTGATTGTGTTCTAGTTGATAATAAAGGCTATAATAAGATGTAGCACTTGGATGATGCTTATCTGAGAAGATTAAGCATAGCAGGAGTTGACAAATAGCCACAAGGAAAAGGATAGGAATAATTAAATTAATAAACTTTAGTATTCTAGTTGATAGACTTTAGTATTTTATAGGTTATGCGAAATGAGTGGCTCATAGTTAGGATATTTATGCTTTTTTAAGGAATATGTTGTTATCCTCTAGGATATGTATTCAATTACAATTCCCTGTAATTTTCTATTTTAAGCATTGCAAGTCATGAATAAAGGTATCAATTAATTCAGTCATCAACAAGAGTTGTTAGGAGGCCTAGGACCCCTCGAACCGTCCTACCATACCAAAATAGGGACGCGATGCAGGGTTGATCCTTGTACTTTGCCCATTGTCAAGCTAGTTAGGTGCTTGCAATCGCAAGCAAGTAACATTTTGGTATTATAGCCAGCCATGTCTGGCCACCGATTAGAGCATTTGGACAGTGAAATCGGCTCATTAAACACTAGTCAAGCCGCATCACAACAAGGTCTGAGAGTCGAGGAAGAAAGGATGATGAAGCACATGGAGTAGCAAATGATTCACTAGACATACAGTGGAGGACATGAGAACGAATCTGGGTCAAACTCACTAGACAAAGAAAAGGTTAGCTTCTCTTCATCGTGATCTACCAATCTCAAGGTAGCTAAGCTTGATTTTCCTCGCTATTATGGAGTGGAGGACCCAACAGGGTGCATCTGTAAAGCTTACCAGTTTTTTAAATTTCAAAAAATTGAGGAAAGGAAGGTGTCAATGGCCGCTTATCCCCTTGATGGGGACGTGCAATTATGGTACCAACAGGTAAAAAATAATGCAAGGTACGTTGATTGGGAATATTTGAAAAATGAGCTGCATGTTTGTTATGGACCCACAAATTTTCAGAATTTTTTTGGGGATTTAACGAAATTGAAACAAGAAGGGAATGTGCAGGATTGCTAAGTAGAGCTGGTAATTTATCGGAAGATCAATAGGTGAGTTGTTTTGTTAATGGGCTTCAAGAGTCCATTTGAATTGATATACTGGCCGCCAACCCAACTACCATGAGCTCAGCTCTTAGACTGGCCCATTTGTATGAGACTAGGTTCACCCAAAGACGCAAAACCCAGATGCCCGAGGTGAGAAGAAATTCCAGCGCCATGGGATTTTCGTCGACACCCCCGTCAACCTTGCGCAGAGCCAAAACTCCCATAATTCGGCACCTTAATCCAATGGAACTTAAAGAGTGGCAAGAAAAGGGGCTTTGTTTCACCTGCGACGAGAATTTTTCTTCGAGTCACAAGTGTAAAAAGTTATTTCTCATTAAAGGGGTATATGCCACCGACGATGACGATGGTGAAAAATAAGCCAAAGAGACAGAAGAGACATGACAGATGGTAGAGGAGACCTGGAGATCAATGTGATCTTTGAGAAGAGCATTATGAGCCTTCTCCTAGAATGGTTTTGTAGATTCCATGGTGGATCAAGAC